GTATATATATATATATATATATATATATATATATATACACACACAAACACACACAAAATGAATGATGTGATACTTTGGGCATATAATTAAATGTTGATTCTTGTTAAGTAATTTTCAGATACTAGTCTGTTGGTCTTCTTATTGTTGAATCTTGTTGAGCAAGTTTTTAGTTACTAGTCTGTTGGTCTTTGTATTGTTGATTCTTTTAAAGTAATTTTTAGTTACTAGTCTGTTGGTCTTTGTATTGTTGATTCTTTTAATGTAATTTTTAGTTACTAGTCTGTTGGTCTTTGTATTGTTGATTCTTTTAAAGTAATTTTTAGTTACTAGTCTGTTGGTCTTTGTATTGTTGATTCTTTTGAAGTAATTTTTAGTTACTAGTCTGTTGGTCTTTGTGTTGCTAATTCTTGTTAAGTAATTTTTAGTTACTAGTCTGTTGGTTTTTGTGTTGCTAATTCTTGTTAAGTAATTTTTTGTTACTAGTCTCTATTGAACTTCTTTAGGTATTTGATTCTTGTTAAGTAATGTTGAAGTTATAAGTTTCTGTTGGTCTTTTTCTTAGATTGCTAATTTCTGTTAAGTATTGTTTTAAGTTATTAGTTTTTGCTTCTCTCTGGTTATTCTGACATTCGTGTAAATTTCGTATTTTTGCTTGTCTTCGTCTGGTTCAGTTTGTTAGCTATGATTAATGTGCTTCTATGTTTATTTAATCTTTGTTGGATTGCTCTTTTTATCATTGATGAACATATGTTCAGTGTGTGAGCAAGCACTAAAGACTTCTCACAGTGAAATAATTTTGAACCACAAGTAAACTGCTGTAGTGTAACTTAGCTTCAAGCAATGGTATTTTAAATGAGAAAAGGTTTACCTTCATCCATCAAGTTGGCATTGAACCAGAAATGTAGTTCTATAAAATGTAAGATGTAAAAGCAAATATTCATGAAGAAGTTATTGTAATTAATGAGGTCACAAAGTCATGAGATTCTTTATGCCCTGTGCTACGGAACTTGCCATACCAAATTTGAAATCAGTGTAGCTATCATCTTTAGGGGCAGATGTTTTTACATCTAAAAATACAAGACTTGAATATCAGCAGAGCCCTTTAGAGGTTATTCCAGCACCCTGGTATCTCTATCTGTTAAAAACTGGCTTAACTCCAGTATAAGGATTGATTTATATAGAACTTTTAAAAATAAAAAAAAATCCCAAAGTGCCGCTAGCTTCTAAAGATATCACAGTGGAGACAAGCTAATGAAAATTGTATTGTTGCTTAGCAGTTGCAATAAATTAGTTTATTAAAAACTAAAAACTTCCAAGAATGAAGAAGTAAATGGACCCATTAAGCATAAAATTATCTCTCAAAGTTATCTGAAAAATAAAAAAAACTATTGACAAAATAACCTGGGAATAGTTTTATTTTACAGTACCTTAATGTTTAATAACATACAAGTTGTCTGCATGTATTTATATGGTAGTTTTATACCAGGCTTTGACATATTATTTTCAATCTTCTTTTTTTTTTTTTTTTACAAAATCTTAGTAATTTTCACAAAACAAATCTCGTTTTACCCTATCAACCCATTACTCAGTTTAGAAATATATTAACATTGTATTATATTAATTCATTATGTTAATAAAGCAAGGTTTGTTGAAATTTCTTGACTAAACTTAATTGTAAAATGACAAGCAGTAAGAATCTAACAAACAATGATGAACAAAATCACTGACTCATTCAAATTTTACTTGCTGAGTCTGTTAGATTGAAAATATATTCCAATCTGTTTCATTTTAAAAAGAAATTTTATGAAAAGAACTGTATTTGACAATCAGGGTTCATTTTAAAAAGAAAGTTTATGAAAAGAACTTGGTTGTTAATTGTAAAGTTAGTTTGATATTATTATACTGCTCTGCCCACATTTTAGGCTAGTTGTTTGTAAACTTACATATGCATATGTTTAATGCCAATTCAGAAGAACAATTTTAAACATTTATTTTAAAAGCGTAGAAAGAAAAAAAAAAATGTTTATGTGACTGTTAGATTTAGAAGTAGTATTGGGTGTTCGTTAAAAGCACTGACTTTTGACTTAGAAAACTAGCAAATCAACAAAGCATAGAAACAAAATCTTAATGTTCTTTGTTTCCTGATCTCTACTTAGTAGGCTTACCACTTACTGAGTCTGTTGGATAGAAAATATATTCCAATCTGTTTCATTTTAAAAAGAAATTTTATGAAAAGAACTGTATTTGACAATCAGATGGAAGGAACAAAATTTAGTTTTCTTGCATTTCTTAACATACATAGATAATGTTGTCAGTACTGATGTTAAGATTTTACAGTAGAAATTAGTCAACTATACATTACAGTGGCATGTGAGTGGGCTTAGTTTTGGCATTTGATTCTATCCTGAACAGTGATTTATGAGAATATACAGCTGTTGAGAGGTCATTGCCACTTTAAGGTTGAAATATAGCTTCTTACTGAAATTTGGGTTTGAGTGACAAACACAATTGTGCTCATTATACTTATGTAGATCTCTTCATTCCAAGATTGAATTTATGATGTGACAATCATTACAAGTGTACTGGGTATTTTTCAAGAGTATGATGACTGATTCCCTGCTTGGTTAAATGGCTAATCCTTCTCAGCCTAGTTACTGATGATTTATTAACTTTGTTTTATATTCCACTATTGAAGAACCAAATCTACATTTTCCCATTATCTAGAAAAGTCAATTTTTAGTAGTTGAGGGCTTTCTCCTTTCATGCTTGATATAGCTTGGATAAAATTCTTAACACAGGATTAATAATCTTAATTTGATGTTAAGCATTTAACTCTTGGTTTACTTGTTCTTAAGTGAGCTGTGGTTTTCAAGGAAAAGATTTTT